TGTATTTTTTACCACATATTTCTATGATGAAAGGAGATCAATCTAATAAACCCGTTTAATTAAATAACTGGGAGATTATTCTCTTATTTCTTTACTCAGTAACCTCGTTTCAAGTAAAAGGAAATTAGTTTCACGACCCGCCTTTTTACACTTATTAAGCCATTCACCTCATGCTACCTAATTAATAAGAATATTAATAATTACCATATAAACTGCATATTCAACTATTTCCTGAAATAAACGTGGTACAAATTTTAAACGCTGTAAAGCATTTTTTTTTTATTGGGCCACTAACAGTAACGCGTTAGCATTGATTTTAAAGTTATAACGCCTTATTATTTCTTTTTAACATATGCCGTATTTGGTACGCAATTAAAAAATAGCCTAATGTGACCAAAGATTTTTAATAGAGACCTTAAGTTTTCCTTCCTGGTCGTAAACAACGTGAGAGCTTGACTAAAATCACGAAGCTCGCCGAATTGGGTTCTCTAAATTGATAACCTGAGTTTATGCCCTGAGACGGACTGGCACCCCATCCAGTATATGTCCCCCGCCATCTGCCTTGGGATTCCTGAGATCCAGCCTTCAGGCTCACCACAGGCTAATATTGTATACGCTAAGTGATATGGGAGATGAATTTATTACATGTATATACTCATCTCTCAAGGGAAGGATGGAGAGGTCTTCCATGCATTCAGACTGAACTGAGTTACAGGATCAGGGAGCGGCAGTAGTTATTAAGAGAGCGAGGGAGGGAGCAACAGAAAGGGCGAGACGGCAGGAACAAAACAGCAGAAAGACAGGCGGCAGGCTGAGACCTACCTGCGACCCCAGCAGTGCCAGAACGAAATGTCACAGTTGGCTGCTTATTGCCCCCCCATCTGCACTTTCTGTCCACCCATGTTTTTTCCCCCTCTTTTCTCGCGCTTGCACCTCCTACGTTCCGCCAATTAAACAAATAGAGCACTTAGACACGGGGGGATGTCATTTTTACACTTAACATCTGAAAGCGTGAGTGTGCTCCTGCGGACTTAAGGGCGTATATTGTGACTTATCGTGTTATATACGGTCCGTGTCCTTTGTGTACGAGGTTGCAGGCAGTTACCCGAAAGAGTGGTCTCTTTTACTCTCTTTTAAAAGCTACGTCCATCCCATCCGTCGCTCCGTCCATCTGGCATCTCTACCATCTTGTTGCAAGCTGTCATTTAAACCGGGTCGCCAGCCGTCAGTTTAAACGGTTTGATCGATCTCCCCGATGCAATTACGAAGGCATTCGCTCCCCGTCCAGCAAAGCGATACTCCCTCTGGCCACGGCGGCGGACTGACAGTGGTTCGGGTTTCCGTGACCTCCTCAGTAACCCCTCTGCCCTCACCATTTCACATCCAGTAGACCGTGTCCACGTTTCAGTCTTTTTTCGTCAGCGCCTGGCATCCGTTTGACAGCCCATGCAGGCTTGACAGCGCCACGATGCACCGTCACAGGAGCCTAATCTGGAGCGACGACTTCTTGAGATCTCGCAGGCACGGAGGATCCTCTAAACTGGCAAACATTAAATAACTGGAATTGGGTGACTGGGACAGGTTTGCACGGTCAATTTATGTAGCCGTATATAAATAGATATGAAGAAGTAAATGCGGGCGATCGCTCAGGTCACCTCAGGTCAGTGCAGCCACGTCGAAGCGAAGCAGGCTGCTGGAAGCAGGTGCTTGGGGCTGCAGGAGATCCGCGAGGAGCCGCAGGACCTGCACATGTGCTCTTCTGCTGAGGACTTTGGCAGGCCGATGAATCATCGGAACATATTGTACAGCCGCGACGTCTCCCCATGCAAAAGCTCTTAATGCTGAATTCTGGGCCCTTTCACATATATTAACCGCTATAAGCCTTTGAGCTAAACGTCAATTGAAATCCGGAGATTCAGCACAGATGTCAAGCCCCCGAGATAGGGCTGATAATTGCTTTTGTAAATATTAAGTGGTATGAAATGATTGAAAGCATAAAATCTCTGGATTTTGATTCATGCGTTTGATAATAAAATATGACGTGATTCATCAAGGTGAAGAACCGAGAGAATATTCCAGATAAATGCCACTGCAATGTTTTTTTATTCAGTTGGTACTGAAACATGTTAGTAATCAATAAATTGTATAAGTCAATCATAAATCTATTGAATAATTGCATAAATATGACAATGCACCTCAAAAAGATTATTTATGCATCACCCGCCTACTTATTACTAATAAGTGTTGTTTAACAGATGATGTAATACAAACTGATCAATGGAGTTTTAGTTAGGACTTCACGTAAAGGTGACCAAATGCTTTCTTTTGCAGGGTATGACCTCAGAGATCCCCTGAAAACGGCTCTAGGATCTTGTCTTTCCTCTTCTTTAACTCATATATGTATGCATGCAAAACTGACACCCCTGTCCGGTATTTAAAACAAACAAACAAACAAAAAAACTATTTTTACCCTGTGGAGACATTTGTCCGGTCCTCACAAGGGAAAAACACATGTGAATGCAATCAAGAAACTAAAGTCTTGTATTTTGTTTGGTTACTGATGGTTAAGGTTAGGGCTGGGTAGGGGGTTCAGGTTCTCATAGTTAGGATTAGGGTTATGACCATAGAAATGGATGGAGAGTTGCCATAGAGATATCGATGCCTAATCTGTCTGTGTACATATGTGTGTGTGATTGCCATATATGTGTAGGTGTGAAATCAGTGGTGTCAAATATGTGCATATGTGCATTCATCTATAGACACAGGCGTCCTGGCTTCCAGAGAAACATGTATTTGTTGTGTTTGGCAGAGAGTGAGAGAGAGAGAGAGAGAAATGGACGTCAGCACTGTGAGTGTGCGGATGCCGCAATGAGGATAAGTAGATGTTTATCAGCGTGGCAGACAGGCTGACAAGTGTTGTGGGGAAATTAGTGCGCGTTTAGGAATAGTTATGTGTAGTGATAGACAAAATGACTCCACATGAACCACTTGCTGATTTTTTTTAACCCACTAGATTATGCTCTTAGTTTACTTTGGGGCATGCTTTGTGCCCTTTCTTGAACAGAGAGCACCACCTAGTGGGGTAAAAAAATATAGCGAATGGTTCATTAGGCATCATTTTGTCCATCACTGGTTCTGGGGTGACCTGAGGCATGCACTTAACATGAGACTATGACTCAAATACCTCTGAGGTCCTACGACAAGGCTAGGCTACTATACATAGTCACATTTTCACAGTGATGTACAAGAACTGACACACACTCAACAGCTAGAAGGTTTGCGGTTTCCTGTAATCACTCGACATTACATCCAGCCCAGTCTATATGATCTGTCACTGCTCAGCTGGGTGGAGGTGTATGTGAAAGCTGTTACCTGTGGCGAGCTAGTTGCAGAACAATTGATTCACATAATTATTTAAAATTAACGCTAAATATTAGTGCCAACGATTTGAGCTTTGCATTTTACACTCCCGATAAATGGAGTAAAATACAAAAGTAGACTGTTATTCAGTATAACATCTGTAATCCATTTGCTATACTTCAGTATTCACAACAAAGCTGAGACTGACTGCATTTTCTGATGTGGTCCAAGGATTATTTCTGCTGTATTTTCGCTCTGCTGGGAAAAAGTGATTTAAAAAGGCAGGAGCGTTTCACGTAATTTATCTCCAGCCTGAACCACACCAACAATCTGTAAATGCCATATCTATATATAAAACAGAAACCCAAACGTCTGGAGGTATTTCTTTAAATCAGAACTAGACAGGCTGAGCGTACATTAACAAAAATACCAGTAATAAAACAGAAATTAAAACCATCAACAAAACAGTTGTTTTCATACTTTTGCATAGGTCTAAATTTCTGTGTTGGAAATGCATTAATGTTTAAAGTACAGCTGAGGTTATAGTGACAGGCCTATATTTCACTACATATCACCAAAATATTGATATTCATTCTGCTTGATTGTCAAGTAACATCATTTCACCCCCATAAATGCCACACAATGTGCCCCCATTTTCAAATTTTAGCTGCTGGATACCAATACCATCCTCCCAGGTCTTCAAAGAATCGGAGTTCTGTGTAACGTGAAACCTTTCTCATTAATAACTGTGTTTAAAAGCACCGATAATTACAGTGATCTGTCCAAATGCTTTGAATTGGCCATTTTTTAAACAGTAATTAAGTGGCATGTATAGGCTAACTATTGGTGGTAACAACATTGGTATGGCAATCTAGCTTCCCCCTGCAGTCATACCACAGAAAAAAATAATAATTTTCACTTAAATGGGCCCTTAAAGAGTCACATGCGAAAGGCTGGATCGTTGTAGTTTTGACCCTTGTGATTTAATACAAAACGTCCAATTATGGTGCACTTGACATCTCTTTAGAAAGAGCTCTGTGGTTTTTTTTTGGCCCGATCGGGTTATTGGGAATCTTAGGCAGTATGGGGTACCGTGCTAATGGGCAGTATAGAAGCTTCTGATAAATGAAGCTCCGGGTGGATCTGAGGCGAACAGAATTACATCCGCATTCTCATTCTTCTCAGGGCTGGAGCAGAGTGACGTTTTGGAGATGAGAAAGAAAGCAGGGAAAAGGTTGAAATATGCAGCCCCGCTTTAGAAATCAAGACGGATTCATGGACCGCGTTCATGGTAGCATTATTATAAATTTCTGCTTTATCGGCAGCTGCCATCGGTTTTTTTATGGCTCGAAATGCACTGCGACGTTTTGCAAATATAATAAGTGCATTTATACACACCAGGCAATAATATAATAGTTAGGCAAAAATCTAACATATTTCGAAAGCAGTGAGGATGTACGGATCGTGGACAATCCCGTTTAAATTGGTCTTCCACGTAACAGACCTGCTAGTTCTCGTGTCTCGTCATGATTCATATATCAGGTTTGAGACTTTTTTGTGATGTAACAGTGTGCTGCTTGTACCATCACTGTCTTGCTGTTAAATCCAACGAAAAAGAACAGACGAAAATTTACAATTAATCCGTTTTAAATAGCTCAATAGTAGTTCTTTATTAATGAAGGAAAAAATGAATAGCAATACAATGTGAAATATCAGGTCTTGACAAATGAGTAAATTAAAGAGTTTCACAGCTCTTCTTTCTTTCGATGCCTCTCTGCCCATCTCTCCCATTATACAACCCCCATCCCTATCTTCCTCTATATATTAAATGCTGCTTGTTTAAAATTTCTGAAAGTGACGTCGGCACAAGAGTGTATTTGCCACTCCCAACACATATTTCATTTCTGTACAGTGCTATTGGCATCTCCCTGATTTAAACGGTGATTCACTGTCCCGGTGGCCGCCGCCCGCCCTCCTCTCACTAATCTGAGCTCAATCGAAGAGCGAGTCCCGATGCGACTGTGACCAGGTTATGAGCTTCCCCCCCCCCCGTGTGAAAGACGACTGTTAAGCTTGGCTTGCGTCGTCTTAAAGGGAATTGTTTTAACCACGCCAGCAGTTTTCAGTGATTAAGTTTGCCATTAATCCCCCTGTCTAAACTATATGGGTTTATCCCTTGCCGACTATCCTGTTTTTTTTCTCTCCCGTCTTTCATCAATCTCTTCTGCGGCGGCACTTGCAAAACTTCCCTCTGTGATTGTCATCACATAGCCGTCATCCTATTCTAGGTAGACTATTCTCTGCTGATATTCAGAAACGCATCTGTCGTTTAAATGAATGCAGGTACCATTTTTCTTTATTTTTTGGTCCAGGCAAAAAACATCTAGTGAAATTCTACCACCCCCGCCCCCGCCCCATACATTCACTTCATCATGTTCCTTTCACTCAATCCAACAAAAAGAAATTCTGATAGAAATTTGGGCCCCTATGTTGTCAGATCTGTCATCTCTATTGTGAGTCTTTCTTTTCCTCTCTAACAGGAACAAGGCGTCGCTTCAGTGTGCAAAAGAAATATTCAAATGTTAAAGTAAAACTAAGGCAGACATAAATTAAAAAAATTTAGTCTCCGAACACAGAACCCTCTGGATTTGAAAGCCATCACCCTGAAGATCGACACACCTTTTCTTCTGCGTATCATTCCAGCACTTGTCTGTCCAGAAATCTCATTTGTTTGCTTCTGATTTTCAATCCAGGGCCGGCTGAACGTTCCTGCCTCGGTCCGTTTCATTGGCCGATTCTCCGTGCAGCGCAAACAGGACTGATCTCTGTGCCTAGGAATCATCTCTTGAAAGCCAAGGGCATTTCAACCCTAGATAAGGTAACTTCAACGTTTACTTCAGGTACACTGTGGAAGATATAAAACTAAGTAACCAAAAGTTATCGATTAGAAGCAGCAATTGATTATCGTTAAATGACGTCCCTCTGAATGTCTCTAAAGAGTACATAATGTAAGGATCTAAGTTGGGATAGAAACCACTGGGGCAAATGAGTCCTTCAAGACCAAGCTTAAGAACCTTTGCTTGGTGTCTGTATGGAAGTCTATCACGTGTATGTGTAGTCTATATCTGGGATGCCTCCTTCTCTGTGACCACGGTTAGTGCCGAACGCAGAGTTAGTCGTGTGGTGGGTACTTTTGTAAACTCCAGCGCCATTGGAAGGAAATATGGTGTGGATGATGTAATCTTCCCGGAGAGTCTTGGTGTGCAGGGACTGCTGGGCAGCCATGGGAGTCATCTGGAAGCCAGGACCCCGGATCTCCAGGATAGAGGTGTCCTTCTTGGTGCCCGACTCCACATAGTCGTCGTATCGCTTCTTGCTGCGGTAGATGCCGCGGCCGGAATGCTCGCGGTCGGAGATGTGCCGGGCCCGGTGGCTGCACCAGCAGAGGATGGCGCAGATCAGGGCCAGGAGTACGAGGGCGGTGGCCCCACCGATGATGCCTGCCAGCGGGAGCACGGTCAGCTGCTCAGAGCCCTGGTCCTCGCTTTTGTCGGGACCCGGCCGGGCAAGTTCAGACGTCTCGGCCCGGGCACACACCGGGGCTTCTTCGGAGTCAGCGCTGGCCTCAGTGAACGTGCTCCGGCCGTCGGCGGGGAGGGGTGCCATGCAGATGATGTAGCTGGACTGGGGTTGCAGGGCGCTCAAGAGGTATTCACGCCGATCGCCGGGGACCAGGGTTTCGGTAATGGAGCCCATGGCAGCGCTGTTGCTGAGACGCAGCCAGCTGAGCCGGAACGAGGACGTGGGCTGTGGCACGCGCCAGGTCAGGTGGATGGAGTCGGGACTGAGGGGCTTCACGGTGAGGACCAGTGCCTTGCCACTGGCACTGCTGCCAAGCGAATAGTCCAGGTCGGAATCAGGGAGTCGGAGACCAGGCCGTTTGGATTTTAGGGTGAACAAAGAGCCCTGGAGTGGAGACAGCGTGGTAGACATGGTGGTGGCCCGTTCCCCACTGGCCCGTTCTCGACCCCCGCCGGCTGCACCGGTGTTGCTGCTTTCGCACTCCTCCATGTAGGCACCAAGGTCGCTGAGGGCCATGCCCCGCACTCTCTCAGGGCCTTGGCAGGTGAAGCCACGCACCGTGACAGTGGTGCCGCGGGCGTGCAGCCAGTCGTGCAGCCAGCGCAGGTTGCAGCCACAGTGCCAGGGGTTGCCGCGCACCAACAGCTGCGACAGGCTGTCCATGTCCCGGAAGAGGCCCCGAGGCAGGGTGGTCAGGTTGTTGCCCGATAGGTCAAGCCTCTGCAGCCGGCGCATGCCATCCAGGGAGCCCCTGGGCATGTGGGTGAGAGCATTGTCCTGCAGGTAGAGGCGCTGCAGATGCGCGCTGGGCAGGTTCAGCGGTGGGGTCTGCAGGGAGTTGCGCACCAGCGAGAGCTCGGTCAGGTTGGAGAGGCGCGAGAAGGTGTCGTCGGCGATCCGCTGGTTAGCTAGCAGGTTGCCATCCAGCACGAGGCGGCGTAGCGAGGAGAGCCCCCGGAAGGCGTGCGTGGGGATGGTGGAGATGCGGTTGTCGTCCAGCCTGAGCTCCTCCAGAGAGGATGGCAGGCCGGAGGGGATGCTGGACAGGTGGTTACGTGACAGGAAGAGCAGGCGGAGGCGCGGGTTGTCAGCGAAGGCCTGCTCCTCGATGCTCACCGTCGATATGGAGTTGTCATCCAGGTGCAGCTTCTCCAGCAGCGGCAGCCGCGCCAGTGCCGAGCGCGGCAGCGTGCGGATGTTGTTGTCCTGCAGGTGTAGCTCTCGCAGCGATGGTGGCAGGTGCATGGGGAAGTCGTCCAGTTCATTGTCGTACAGGTAGACGACACGCACAGCCACGCGGCGCTCCAGCGAGGTGGGCAGGCCGCTGTTGTCGATGCGGTTGTTCTGGAGGTAGAGCACAGCTGCCGAGAAGGGCAGCGGCGGGATGAGGCTCAGGCCGCGGTCGTTGCAGTAGATGAAGCCCTCGTCGCAGCGGCACACGCCGGGACACGCCACATCCGCCTCGTGCTCTGCCTCCTGCGCCGCCTCCGCCGCCGCCGCCGCCAGCTCCAGCACTTCGGCCAGCAGCGTCAGGCAGAGCAGCAGCAGAAAGAGCCAGTCACGGAGATCCGATGCGCCTTCTGGGGCCATTTCTCCGCCTCCTCCTTCTTCCACCGCACCGCCACCCCTCCCTGCACACCTTTTCCAGGGCACTCAGGGGGGGGAGTTCCAATCAAGTGGGAGGGCGACTCCCTACAGCTCCGTGCGGCTCTCCTGCAGTCACAGCCTTAACGGAAAATAAGAACAAAAAAAAAACAAACAAACAGAGTTAATTGCCAGCTGGCAAAGAATATCACCTGCAGAGGGACACCGCAGACTCTGCATCTTCTGCTGTGTGTCCAGACCGCATACTCACACCGGCATTTCAGTCCTTCTGCTAGCAGGAGGCGGCGGGCAGGGAACGGCAGGAGTGTTTTAACGTCGAATGGAGGCGCACGGATATCAGCTTCGCCAAAGTACGGCAGGACCTGTCACTGATTAACGGAATGATTTTGAAGCATCGGACTACTTAAGCCATGTGGACACTTTCTTGGATGAGCTCCATACTTACGCAGAATTATTTTCACACTCATGGAAAGCCTGTACATAAAGTAGGGGCTAAATAAGATTATTCCCAATCCAGCTGGCGACCAAACAAATGTGCCCTTTCTTATTTTCCCATTATAAAATTCCACGTCTCCCTGAATCGCTCTGAATGCAAAGGGCTCTGTTATCGTTCCACAGACGCTCCTTCTTAAAGCCTACGTGCATGTACACTCTGCTCAAAGTGATTGTGGTGCCAGTCTTGGTCCAGATTCAGTCCGTTCCTCGAGATAAGACCTGTAATGGTGGCTATAACAGCCTCCCTCCCCTGACAGCAGGTGCCTGAAATGAATCTCGATGACTTGTCTAATCACGAGTCCAAGGCTGCTGCTCAGATGAAGTAGTCACGGTCGATTCACACCTTCCACTTAAAGCCAGGCTCAAAGTAGCCCGGCAGGGCAGGACTGCCTTGAGGAAGACACAGGGGCGGGGCCACTGCCGTCAGCTGAAAGCTGATTGGCTCCCGGATTGCTCCTCCCCCCATCACTCACTGATTCAAAACATACCATGTGCTAATGATAAGGTTGGCCCCTCTGTGTGAATTATGGCCCCTCTTATGCACCCCCCCCCTTAAAAAAAAATCCTAGAATTGCCCCTGGGAGGACATGAAATAATGTGGTGGCCAACCCTGCATCCCTGAGGTACAGCACTCTGCAGGATTTAATTTCCTGTTAGCGCCTGGCTAACCGCTAAACCGGCAGGTAGGGAGATTTAATAATAATTAGACTTTAGCAAAGCAATTAGTATGTTACGCAAAGACCAGTTCATTCTTTGATTGTTTCGCACACGCTGGGGTAAGACGTGGCACGGACTGCACTATGGCAGCCGAGATTTAAATCCAGATACCCCACACAGAAAGTTGGAAGTCTAATCAGTCCTGCAGACCATGATCCCACAGCGAGGCCTGTAGGATTGATATGATCCTCACAAAGTGACACATGAGCAGCCTCTGGATAACTGGATGCCTATCCATCTTCCACAACCGCTTATCTCAAACAGGGTCATGGCAAGCCTCTAGCCAATCCCAGGAAGCAGAGCCTGAGGCGGGGGCCACCCTGAATTCATCGGATCAGTGTTTCTCAATCCGGTCCTCAGGGACCCGCAGTCAGTCCATGTTTTTGCTCCCTCCGAATTTCCTAGCAGACAGTCCACGTTTTTGTCCACAAAAAGCGTGGACTGTATATGGGTCCCCAGGGACCGGATTGAGAAACACTGCATTAGATGTCAAAAAAACACCCACAAGCCTTTACTGTAAAATGAAAATATGAATAATTGAACAGTGTAATATATGTTTACCTCAGCTTATGATCTGCTTTTGCGCCCGTTTACGTGAAGCACCCCGGATGAAGCTAACCACAGAGAGATAGCTTCCCGTTCTTAGTTACACGGGAGGATTTCACAGTGGTCGAGACAGTACACTGGACATTTATATAGCTGTGAAAAACAGTTTGGAAAAAATGGCCTTCATTTCCTGGTTGCCTTCTATCAGGGGAGAGATATTGGGACTGGAAAAAAAAACAGGTATTTGAAAGACTGATACTCATTTGGTAACATTTTACTTGAAGGGGCACAAACAATGTAGTATTACACCATTACTTACGTATTAATTAACCACAAATGAAATCTTAGTTACATACTGATCTCATATTCGTCCATTATTAAAGAAACGTGGCATGTTTTATTTCAAGCAATTAACACATTTCTTACTATGTATTGTATACTGTTGTTCTGTAAACATTTGTGAACAACTGAAGGAACTAAGGAACAACTGAAGGAACAAGTCATGAATAACACATGAAATACTGATCTCATATTCGTTCATCATTAATGAATTTTGACACGTTTTCTCAAGCAATTACTATATTTGTTACTATATTGGTTAATTCGGTAAACCTTTGTGAACTACTGAAGGAACTACTAAGGAACCGCTGAAGGACTAAGTAATGAATTACTAGTGAAATACTGATTTCATGTTTGTTTGTCATTAATGAATCATGATGCATCTTATCTCAAGTAGCTACTAAAATTGTTCGTGATTAGTTTTTCAGTAGTAACTGAGATACTACTCAGTATCTGTGCTTCCTCAAGTAAAGTTTTACGGTTTAGTTAGCAGGTACTCCTACCCAGTTTGGGGTTAAGGGCCTTGCTCAAGGACCCAATGGGGAAATCTGCCTGCTGACCACGAGATTCAGCCTAGCAACCTTCTGATCATGACCACAGTGGCCACACACCACCCCCAAACACAAGCTATCATGCACACATCTTAAAATGTAATTGATTACATGAGCAGATTACATGCTTGGCCACAGAACGCACTGAGAAGTGTGGAGTGTTTTTTTCTGTTTACAGCGCCAGGGACATAAAATGGTGGGTGGATCACCAACCGCAGGTGTGCAGTGAAGAATGGCCAACAGTGACATTCCATGACCGTATGTGACAATAAAGTCAGGAGTAGCCAAGGTAAAACCTAAAATCAATGTATGACTGAAGAAATCCCTTCCACCAATAGACATTGCACTGTCCTTTCTGTGTCTATTTGATGAATTATTAATAACTACATCTACATTTACATTACATTTACATGATAGACGCCAGCCTGTGGAGATCTACATATGTATATCTGCTTTTATGCTTAACAATGAACAAATTCTGATCTGCAATGCAGATGATTCACACCTTCAAATGTTTTCAGTTGGGTGTAATCTCTGAGCAAGCCCAAGCAAGCCGTCCCGATTCTGCTCATTGTAACGTCGACAGAGATGTTTAGTCATTTTGCACTTTCGTCAGCCTAACATTATGTAATCCGATAGTGCTACGAATGCTCCCAGACACGGGTAACGTTTGACTGCTCTGAAAAGCAGACGAGAGGACTGAGGCAAAATGGCCGTACTGCCCCCCGCTTGTGGATTTAACGGCCGTTTTTGTGCCCCGGGGGGGGGGGGACAGCGTGAACGCAGAACATAGGTATATCACTCAGTGCATCTAACAGGTCTTTGCAGCCAGTCTGTGGAGAACAAACATTACAATGAAGCAGTGGTTCCCAACCCAGTCTTCAGGACCCCCCACGCAGTTCCCTCCCTGCTCTCAGCCAATCAAAATCACTGAATACCTGGGATAGTTGTGCTGGGAGTTGGGAGGGAGGAAAAATGTGGACTGGGTGGGGAACCACTGCAATAAAGCGTAAGAAACACGTGCCACACAGGAAGTCCATTATAAGCCTTTTTTTGTGAAATGATTTAAATGAACGGACTGGAGACACTCCAGTTGCACCTGCTCAAGGCACCAACATGGCGGTCTGCTGTAAAGCATGGTCACCTCTCAGCTCCAGGCTTACATCTGACTCTGGCCCAGGCTTCACAGAGTCTGCATGATCTCCTGCCTTGTCTGCCCGCATCCTCCGCTCGCGTGTCAGCTTCTCCTCTCGCCACCGAGAGACACGCTGTTCGGTGAATTGCTTTTGCCGCGCGTGCAAATGTGTGGGCGCGCGTGCACGCGTGTCTCTGTGTGTGCGGTGTGCGCGTGCACTTAGATGATTTCACACCCCATTTGCCATGTGCCTGGCCTAACACCCAGCGCTTCCCAGGGAATGTTCTGGATCACCGCGACCTCACGCGACGTAATTGGATGAGCGGTCACTAAGAACGCCTGCATGGACCTGCCGTCGAATTTCCTCCGAAAGACACTCGCAGGAAACACTGAAGAAAGTAACGCTTACGCAAGACTTCATTTTGGGCTACGATCCGATCTGTTTGTTTTGATCACACCTTCTCAAACAGATGTTCTGACTTTCAAAAGTTTAACTGTTTAGTCAAACAGTAGATCCCCTTGGAACTTCTTGCACATTATTTGATTTACCATTTTATATTGGTAAAAAGTGCCTTGCCTTTCTGTGTACGGATGTGCAAAAATCATACACAGTCTTGTGTTTATTACTTTCAGTCGTTCTGGTGTGTAGGCTGCCCCCCCCTCAAATCTGCCCGGTCATTTTCTAAAAAGCACGCCCACCCCCCTCTTTTTTTATCACCCTTTTCGCGAGCCATGATTAATCGTGCCCCCTTACACAAAACACAAAAGCCCTCCCACTCCGTAATTGCTTTGTTTCACTCGTCCTCTGCCGTAAAATTCTCCCCGTCCCGTCCTCCTGTTTTGCTGACCTGCGTCCATCTGCGTCTCCCCCCCCCCAATGTCCCTGGCCTCCTACGCTGTGCTTTTCCTGGCTGGTCGGAAGAACCCAGTAACTACAGAGTCTGTAACACCTTAAGACAGCTCAGGACACCACTACGGATGATCTGACAATTTAAAGGCAGTTCTACAGAGTTTACAGTCATTAATATAACTAGTTTTATATCCGAGTCGAATATTAACAGACAGCATGAAAATCACACAGGTTGAAACCACAGGGCTGATTTCTGTGATAATGAAGATCCTCTACGGTGTACTTAAAGATCTGTGTAACCGTGAAATTGACCATAAATAAGTTTACAGTTAACAAATGTAATAATGTCTGGCCCCAAGTGTAAGATGCATATATCCATAACAAGCGATAAAAGCCTACCTCGGATAAAATTGGCCACTGGGTTGATCCAGGAAATTCTGGATGGCGTTCAGCGACTTCTGTGGCAATTGTGACACAAGAGCACCAGGCCAATGGCTGGGGGGGGGGGGGGGGGTCACACTCACACTGTTTGGTTAGTTTCCTGGGCCGCCAGCGAGGGTTAAAATCCGCTGCTGGCTTGTCTGACGCGCCCAACTGGACCTGGCATGGCCTGTTCTCCACGCGTGGCTCTGTCTGACTTCAGAAGCTGTGCTGGTCCTCCGCTGGGTTTGCAGATTCGCAAGGCAGGACTCTCCCCATTACACGCCTCGTCCAGATAGGAGTCAGGCCCGTGAAATAGGCCGCTATCTAAATGTCAGGCGCAAACCTTTATTTGCCCTTTTTGAGAATCCAGGCGGACCACGCAAATCAGAATATTTCCTCCTCAACTCGCTCCTTGCAGGAGATCCATCCGACTTGTTTTTTTGTCCGTTGTCTTCTTTCAAGTGCGTTGCTTAACTGATAACGTTTTATTCCACCTGTTGATATTAACGCAACAGTTTGGCATTACTTCCATGATAATCTGCGAAATATGATGAAGATCTAAGGTGTAAAATATTCATGTTTCCTTAACGCTTCTGTAGCCTTTTGGAGAGGCTTATCTGAAAGCCAGTGATAATGATGCTTAAGTCTTCTTTTCCTCTCTGTTGGTTAGGCTGGGCTGGGCTACCTATTGACGATGCAGTTCCGCTTCGTCGCATCCCAACAGCACCATCTAGTGGACCAAACAGAAAAATCACAACTTAAATTTAGCGGTCGAATTAAAAAAAAACAAAAACCTTATAACAATTTATTTAACCTTATCTAAATTCATGTCATTATAGCAGGTACAACGCCATTTTTTAAAATTTCTACAGCTGGATATTCTTCTCTCCGAAATTTAGCTCAAGCAACTCAGAGGTACAACAGCTTGCCCCCTTTTTGGACCTGACTGTGCTGTTGCAAGCAATATCTGTTTTCAATGCTCACCGCGGAAGTACAGTAACCGCACTTTATGGGACGACAGGCCTATTAAGTGGGTTCAACATAAAGAAACCAAGAACTGTAGTTGTCATAATTTACCTTTGCACAGTCTCGAGAGCCGCGTAACACAAAGGAGCAACCTTAAAATGTTTATCCGTATTTACTCTTTACCTGTCTTCCATGTCAGATTATGAATGTTATTAACAAAAAAAAAAGATAGGCTGGAGATGCCAAATTACTGGATAGCAGTTGTGCACGAAGTGCAAACGCGTGTCTAATTTTCCATTCAGCAGAGAGTAGATGAAGAAACGATGAAAATGCACCGGCTCTCGAACAATGGCGAGCAGCCGTCATAGCGATGCCGGTATGCTCAGACTTCCATGAGATTTGACTAGCCGTCCACTAACATGAACACGGTCGTTCGCATAAAAAGAAGAGAGAGAGAGAGAGAGAGAGAGAGAGAGAGAGAGAGAGAGAGACTGGAGTGGAAAAAAGCCGCACTGGGGAAAAAAGAAAAGCATTATTTCGGCTCGCCAGTATTCAGCCCGACATCCATTTGATGTTTATGCTCCCTGTAAAAATCCCCGTAGCTTTTAATATCTTTTTGTTTCCCTCTCTTGAAAGATGCGTGTCTGACAGTACTTAACAAACCCCTTTAATTGCTATCTAAACAAAACGTCACATTGGGAGTTGGTTAATGCCAGGCATTATGAAATAGGCTTGTTGAAAGGTCCGCACCGTATTTCATATGAAGACGAACAGTCCATTTAAATAGCGCGATTTGTTAGAGAACCTCGCGGCTCGGAAGTTGCCCGTTTTTATGCTCTATAAAGGTTGATTGACCGACGTATGCGTTTATGCATGCGGGTGAGCGTGTGTGGGCGCTTGCATGCGTGAATCCATGCTTTACGTGCGCTGAATTCATCTTTTGATGCTCCCATTTGTGTCGTTACCGTTACTGGTTCTGTGAGCCTTTGCCAGTTTTACCACTGGTACTAAACTCAGCCACTGGCTACAAGTCGGGTAGCAAGCTGGGCAGCCTTGAATGCAATCAGGAATACGGCTAGAAAACGGACTCGTTTTAACAAATGATCCCAATTTACAGATACGCCCCGATCTGCAGTATATCTTTTAAAAAAAGCCCCGAAGTAGATCCTGAAAGCAATGACCTTGCGTTTAATTAGCGATAATACGTGTTTTCCTATCGTCTAAATAACCTGTTTAAAAAGATAAACGATCCCATCACATTGACTTATGTTTAAATCCCAAGTCTGCTTAGACCCATTTATTTTAACTGGATCTAAACTACTGTGCAACAACTGATGCACGATCCGTGATTGCATTAATACTAAAGCCTACTATTCATGCAACTGCTTGTTTTAACTACTAAAAAAATATTATTAAACATAACACGTGAAAGACCAAGACCGCGCTCCGTCTGCGTTAATTTGCACTATTTTACTCAACTGAAATAAGTACTGATGGGGTACTCAGCTAACTGAAATCCTATTAATATATCTGTCCTCCATGCAGGGCTTAATTATCACAAATTCAAGTAGAGCCGCAGAAAACAAATCATAAAGTGATCAGTTGATTACGCAACTCCGCCGGGGTGCAATACAGCGACCCCAGAAAAAATTACCGCATCTGCGCTTTGCGTTGCTACTACTCGATCTGCCTTAATTTTAAGGGCACCGAGGGAAAATGTAAAGTAAAAACCGTAAAACCCATATATCCATCAATCTTTCAACGTTATATGATGGTGAGCAAGGCAAGGGGGGGCCTGGAACCTACCCCAGGCCGCCACCCACAGGACACGATGCCAGATCACGTTAAAATGAGTACCTGTGATTTTGTACACGTGCAGTAGGCCTACTTATTGTGCATACACGTCAAAATCATCCGGCATATACGTCACAACACGTTTTATTCCGAATTCACAATAGCTGCAATTTTTTGCACAACACTAGTCCTATATCTAAAATAGCATTAAGAAAATAAATCTCAGGCCTAACATTTTCTCACCGAAGCGAAATTGTCTCCGCTGACATTAACTTAACACTTGTTTCGCCATTTCGAACTAAAACGCCAAGCTGCCCATCCTGCTGAGAGTTTGTAGGATGGTCGGATGCACGACGGCGATCAAGATAACATTTTGTTGCTTTAAAATAACAAAGAGAATGTTTGTACATTCTGAAGCAAAACATAAAAAAATAAAATGAATAAACCCAAATGAGGAATAAAAGCCTATGTGTTTTGGTTAAGATGATCAGAAAAAAACATTTATTTAATTTGGCTATCAATCATTTTGTGAATGTGTTTTCATTGCACTTTTTTGTGTTCCCCTTGTTTGTGCCTACACCTTCCATCTTGGAGACACTTTGGATTTCTTTTATTTTTCGCAGCGAGGTTCACGGCCATCGTTAATGAAAAAGCTAAAGGAAAGATGATAATTAAAAGAATCGAGATTGAATTAAAATAAAGACGGTTCTGAGTTTAGAAGTGGGCGAGTAATTCAGAGCCCTACAATGTCGAGACTAAAATCGTTGTTAGACTAAATCACATTTTTACGAAACAGGAATTCACCCATTACAAGGACTACATAAGAAAGTCTCTGGGCAGCTAAATAAGAGTTGCCCTTTCGCTAAAGGTAAACAGTAAGCATTAAAATATGTAGATGTGGCTGTTTTATCGCTTAGGTTTTACGAGTGTATTCTATTATTAAAATAACGCTCATCACACTGTAACCTCCTACCCTAAAACCATTTCTCATCCTCTGCTGCGCTCACTCCAGGATTTATCGGCCGAAATACAGGCCTGGCGCCCCCGGCTCTGGACCGCACGACACCCTGATGTACTGTCGTCCCTGTCACATTACAGAGGAGAAGACCCCGAATTACTAGCATTACGTACATAGTTCATGGTGCATTTGAGTAACATGTTTAAACACACTCTAATTCAGTTCACGGGAAAATTACCAAGGAGATTTAAATGCTTTACGTGGTTATAAGTGCTAGACCGGGAGTATTGAATTAATACTGTAAGTTATGCAGTGCTACACACGAGCAGAATACACGTTTATATAGAAACGTTCATCCACGCTGCAAAAAAAGGGGAATGTGCATGCAAGCAGTTTTAAGTCTGTCAATGCGATTTGATATTGATTAGAGACCGTAATCCGTATGGGGGCAGTGACTGGAAATGAGCCCAGTGCGCAGGCGCAGACAGGCGCCGCGGGATGTGATCGGACTGCTAACGCCGCCGCACATTGGACCATTCAGGGAGGAAGAGGCGAAGGGGAGAGAATGAGAGTGAGAGAGTGAGACAGTGAGGGGAGGGGGGGAAGGGGGAGAGGTAGAAAGAGAGAGAGACGGACAAAGCGCAAGGGAATGAGAGAAAATCCGAAAAAGAGAGACAGAATGAAAGAGACAGACAAAGACTGGGAGCGGGAGGGGGAGAGAAATAGAGAGAATGTGAGCGAGGCTGGTGAGGATGATGGAGGAGAGGGTGAGATGGGAAGTAAGGGATGCTCAGAAACCCGCAGACTGACACTGACAGACAGAGATTCCTCTTCTTTTCTGATAATTATATCTCCCGCTTCCCCAGCCGGGTGTAACGTCCCCGCGCTTCTCCCCCCCCCATTAGGTAAAGAATCAGTCCTAACAAGAAAGCTTTTAGCTGAGTTAATTAAGAAACATCCATATGCAGTGTGTAATGCTCAATTTACATTCTCTGCCGCTCTCTCCATCGCTCCCCATCTACATATCTGTTTATCTACATATCCTCTCCTCCCTTTTATCATATTTTGAATAATTTCTGTCTGTATTGGATTAGGATTGGCTCTCATTTTTATCGTTGTCTCTATTTTTCTGCTGAAATGATCTATATGATCAAAACACTTTCCCGCCAGGCAAATTGCAATGGTCCTTTCAGACATTGTCACTGTGTGGGCACGATTTGTTATTGCATTATTGCGCGTCTTTTTTTTTCTTTAGAAAAAAAAAAAAAACACCCACCCACAATAACTTTTGATGTGTTTCATGTCTGCTTCCTTTGAGTCATTTTGAACTGTGACCCCTTTTTCCCTCCCGTTGTCTTGAAACCCCGGATGAGGTTTGGGGCGAAACACACCCTCAAACAGAAGGAATGTGAGACAGAGAGGGGGGGTGGGGCGGCAGTGTCATGGTGCTGTATGAACAACTTGTAAGAGTATTCCAGCAACACACAGGTAGGTGATATTTATGCCAATGTAGCATTTTGAATGTGACTTTGGAACCTCGGAAAGGGAAACGGTAATTATTTGGCGCATAAATAATGGACAGAGGATCGGATTGCTTTGAAAAACACAAACTGGTGTGAATGGAAGCAACTGCACCCACTAACGATGGAGAATGAGGGTGAAACGGAGGGAGGGGTGGATGTAAGTACAGCCTCAGAACTCCAAGAATGACAGGTGCGGAACAAAAAAAAGGAACGTTTTTAAATATTCATTTCATCTAATTATACGGGACCTCAATTAGTTGGCAAGAAGGAAAAAAAGGAACCGTCGTTTAAACGGCCGTGCCGGCAAGTCAGCGCGTACCCGAGGAGCGCGTACCCGAGGAGCCGCGTGAGCGTGCGCCGAGTGCCTATCCCAGCACGCGCGCGTCCGAAGCACCTTAAGATCCAGAACATTCCCAGTTTAAAGCTGCCCTTGCCAGTCAAAGAAATGGTGCAAGTGAGAATCCATTCCAGGGTTCATGAGACCAAAAC